CACACCCCATACACACACATTGCCCACACTCACACATACACTGCAATACTCACACACACACACTGCAACACACACACATACTGTCCCACACAAACACTGCATCCCTGATATACACTGCGCTCTCACACACGCTCACACACTGTCCCCCTCAAATTGCACCACTCACACACACTACTGCTCCTATGCACTACTACAGCCCCATTTCCCAGCAGACCTCAGGTAAGTTGTCAAACTGTTCTTAAACGGTTTGACTACTTACTCTGGGAGGGGGTCCCGGCACTATAGACACCATAACCACTACAGAGCTGTAGTGGTTATTGTGTCTGGATTATTTCTTTAAATAATCTACAAGTGCCCCTCCCGAGATCAGGCTCTGGATCCGCCACTGAGAGCACCTTCAGACCCTGGAGCACTTCAGACCCAGCTGCCGAGGCTTGACTGGGATCACTGAGGGCCCTTTCCAACCTGATACGAACACCAGAAGACACTTGGTGAAGGTTAAAACAATAACTAACATTTAATAGACATAGAACACGTATTTCAAGCCTCCAACAGCCTCATTTACATACAATATTGTGTATAGAGTACTATAGTATAGACAATAGCAAGGGCTGATGGGAGACTGAGGAGGGACAGGGCAGCTAGTATACACAGGTCTGGCAGTGTCCCTGGGACAACACCCTACTGGCGAACAAATAGGACAGGAAAAAGGGGGAGGGAGAGAGGCACAGACAAGCAATACATTCAACATACCCTGCATCAATAAAGGGCATTGGGTGACCAAAACACAAAAGGAATCTGGGGACTCACATATAGTATCTGTCTTCCATCCCCGGTGATGGTGACTACCATCACAAAGACCACACTGGACTTTGTTTTATCCAGACTCACTTTCTTTCCAGACATCACATCTGCAATGGCGAAAGTCACTAAGCCCTATAACCGTCCACCTTCAACACGCAAATGTAGATTACCGATGGCTGATGCCAAGAACCTTAGCAGTGGTACAGAACGACGCTGTCCTAAAACTTATCTCTATCCCTGAAGCCCCAGCTGGCTTTGGGACTCTCACAAGACACAAGGGCTCAGGAGACACCTTCAACCTCCACATCTCACATATGGGACCCAGAGAGAACTGTCCCATTTACTACCAGAGGTGGTTCGAATAAGGCGGCAGTGACCTGAGCAGACACAATACAGTGCCATATGGCTCACATACCATGGCTAATACATGGTTACATTGTGAGATGAAACAAGTATAAAACATCAGATTATGAAAAGATGCATATAAATAGCAATCAGTGCTGAGAGCTATAAGTCTGTACCTACATTAGGTATCCATGGACTTTGAAATGTCCACTCTAGTTTTATATAGGTTGTGCTATCTTGCTTCAACAGAAGCTGAGGTATCTGTGTGACAAGATGTGACAAAGTAAATGTATGTTGTCATTTTGGTGAAAGTGTAGGTATTAAGATAGCTTATCTATATGTAGGTTAAGAAAAAATAAAGGAAAACTATAGGAAATACATCAAAATATTATCAGAAAACAAGAGGTTCTATAATTACCTTTTGTTATATTATCAGAGCAGAGGATTCATATGCTAATGCTCATATACATTTAAGGTCATTCCCTAGTCATACAGTAACTAGCTAGCTCTGGCACTCTGTTATCTCTGAAGGGTAAGAGACAGGCAGAAGTGTAGTAAGGAGAGGGAAAGGAAGTGGAGAGGAGGCTTAGGACCTGGCTTCTTTCTGTACGAAGTTCAACCATGGGTCCCATATCTTTTTGTTGAGGCATGTATTTATGGGAGAATTTGCAGGGGCTCATCAAATACCTGTAGGGCATTACTGGGGATTGTGTGTTTGATCCTAGAGTCTAGGTATTGAGTTATGTGCTCATTGGAAGGTGGCATGTCTCTAAAGTTATAGAGAGATGTATAGAAGTTGTGGAATGCTTTCATGATGTCGGATATTATATATGACGTGTTCCCTGTGCTTGTTTTGATTTTTTTCTATAAATGTGGACTGTCTCTGCTGCTGGTGGGCCTTAGCCAATAGTTTTCCATGTTTGCCCCCCTGGGAGCAGTATTTATGTTTGGTAAGCAGCAGCTTACATTTGATTTGCGTATTTAGCAGGATTTGAAGTTTGGATCTCATATCTCTTAAGTTTTTATAATCTGTTAGTGACAAAGTGGCTTGGTGTCTGTTTTCGAGGTCCCTGATGTCTGAGATAAGTTTTTTTTACTTCAGCTTCTCTCGTTTTTTTATTTTTGGTAGATAATGTTATCAGAACTCCCCATATAACAGATTTATGTGCTTCCCAAGTAGTGGAAGGGGTGGTGGTGAAGTTAGTTGTCTGAGAAATAGTAGTTGATAGTTTCCCTGAGCATGTTTAGAACATCTGGACCATTCAGGAATGTGTCATTCATCTTCCACTGAATTGGCATAGTGGGAAGGGATGGGATGAGAACGTCAAGAGACAGGGGCGCATGGTCAGACCATGTGATTGGACCATATGTGCTTTATTGTATTAAATGTAAAAATCTGTGGAGCATAAATAGTGTATCGATACATAAATAGGAGTTCGCTGCTGGGGAGTAAAAAGAATAGTCCTGTCTAGAGGGGTGAAGTATGCACCAGCCGTCATATAATTGAGGCCGATCGAGTAAGTCAGTGATGTGTTTCCGTGTGGATGATTGATACGAATGTGATGTAGAGGTCGAGTCAAGGACAGTGTCCAGTGTGGCATTCAAGCCACCCCCCAGGATTAGAACTCCCTCAGCAAATTTGTCAACTCAGCTCAAATATTTGCGTAAGGACCTGCATTGTTTTCTATTTGGTAAGTACAGGATAACCAGCGTAACCATTGTCCTTCCCACTTGACCCTTAACTATGATAAACCATGATAAATCTGTGTCGTCAGATTCGTGAGCTTTATAAGTGAAGGGTAGGTGGGCTGCAATCAATATGGGCACTCCTCTGGATTTAGATTCGGTGTAGTTATTGAAGTACCCCTATCTATAATTTTGGAGTTTCGTGGCAGCCCCTTCTCGAAAGTGGGTCTCTTGGAAAAAGGCCATGTCAACTTTTAATTTGTGGATTTCTGACAGCACTAAGAATCTTTTTTCGGGGGAATTCAATCCCCAAATGTTAAGGGATACCACTCGAACGGTGGGCATTACAGGTTGTGTTGTATGAGGGAGGTTTGGGGTCCTACTTCCTTGGTAACATTGTGCCAGAAAGAGAGGAGAATTGATATAAAGAGAGGGTAAGGCAATCCCAACAAATACTAGTTTTCAAAAACTAAGAAACTTAACAGTGGAGTATGTAGATAGCTTGTGAATTGTGTACTGAGAGTATTGGTGTCAATCCCTGAGTGTGTGAAATGCCAACAGGGATGTGGACGTGACACCAGTTGGATTAATCCAGTATCCAATAACTGGTCAGTAGATTAAGGGGTGTACCAAGTAGCTTAACTAAATAAGGATTCAAAAGCAGGAATTTCTGTCTTAGAATGAGGAAAATAATATTAGTGGTCTAGGGAAGGTGGATTAGCCACATTTATTCTGAACTGTGTATGAAAACATATTTACAAGCAAACATTGGATTGACAGTGCAGTACATCCAGCAATACAGTAAAAATAGATACATAGCCATCGTTTAGCATAGGGATGTAAAAGTAGATGCATAACCCACAGGAAGCCTAAACATAATGGCTTCTGTAATTGAAATTTTTTAATTTATTATTTGTTTTATTTTTTAATTTTAAATATTTTTTGGGGGGTATACATGAACTTATATTATACACCCTTCCTCCCACCCTTTGCGTTGATTTATTGGCAGTGTTGAATATTGATTCATTCTCCCCACCCCCCTCCCCCCACTTTTTTGAACATCCATATTAGCCCTATTGAGGTTTCCCGGTAGGAAAAGGGAAGGAACAGGGGTGTGTAGCAGACTGTCTCACGTCCTATGGAGTGGGGGAAAGATCTAAAGAGGGCAGCAATGAGGCCCAGTGTAACTCTTATGGACTAACTTGTACACCACACAATTGTCTCAATTAACACCCATTATTGGCAGTGTATGAAACATCTTAACAGGGGCATGTATAGTATGGCCCTCTTAGGTCGCATGTGAGAGTCCACTGCCTTATAATAGGTGTCATAACTACATAACCTGGAGACCTTAGTGAGCCATTAAAACATAAGACCTGAGCCCAGGTGTTGTCATACTCTGTGGTAGCATCACAAGCAGGTTCGCATTCAGTATAGGTTTGTTAGTGCTGTGCGCTTGTGTTTATGGTGGGATGTTCAGTTGGCTCCAGCCCCTCCGTCTGCTGGGTGTGGATGTTGCCAGTCGCTAAAGTAGTTTGAACGTGGAGCACCTGTAAGTCCGAGCCTTGTCATACTGCAAGTACTTTCATTAGAAATGTAACAGTCTGTTGCCATCAAAATTTGTACTCCTCAAGTAGGGAAGGTCGGTATACCAGGAAGTGGTGGGACATTTCCCGTAGGTGTATGCACTTGTAATCCAATAGGGAAGGAATGTGGAGACACGGTTAGGAATTCGGTAACTTGTGGTTGCGGATGTCCCTTAGAAGATTGGCCTGTGCAGCTTCCACCTAACAGTGGTGAGTGAACATAAGACGCCAATGAATTTTTAGTATGGCGTTGTTCGTTTGCCTTTTCTTTTTAGCAGATTGCCAGCGTTGCCTCTTAGGAAGGTGTTTGGCAGCATTTGTTTGGGCCAGTGAGAGTCCAGAATGTGAGTATCCTGAAGCTCCAGAGCTCGTATGAATGGTTGCCATGGGTTCTTCTATTAAGGAAGAACCCATGGCAATAGGTGTGCAAATGATTGCTACTAAAAACTTGCAGAATAATTGTAATTGGTTAACTCAAGACAAGGTGCTGCAGCAACTAAAGAAAGTTAATATAAACAAAGCTCCAGGGCCTGACGGTATCCATCCACGAGTACTTAAGGAACTAAGTGTAGAAAGAAGTGAACCTCTGTTTTTAATCTTTCAAGATTCTTTTCTTTCAGGAAGTGTTCCGGAGGATTGGAGGAAGGCAGATGTGGTTCCTATATTCAAAAAGGTTTCAAAATCCTTGCCTGGAAATTATAGACCTGTGAGCTTAACTTCTGTGGCTGGTAAAATATTTGAAAGGTTATTAAGGGATAATATTCAAGAATTCCTTGAGAAGAACATGGTTATCAGCAAAAATCAGCATGGTTTTATGAAGCACAGGTCATGTCAAACTAACTTGATTGCGTTCTACGAAGAAGTAAGTAGAAGTATAGATCAGGGTGTTGCCGTGGATGTGATCTATTTGGATTTTGCCAAGGCATTTGATACAGTTCCACACAATAGATTAGTGTTCAAACTCAAGGAAATCGGTCTAGATGAAAATGCTTGTTCTTGGGTAGAACATTGGCTTAAAAACAGAGTACAAAGAGTTGTCATTAATGGTAAATTTTCAAGCTGGACAGAGGTGGCAAGTGGTGTCCCTCAGGGGTCTGTTCTGGGACCCCTTCTATTTAACATGTTTATAAATGATCTTGAAGACCGCATTGAAAGTCATGTTTCAGTGTTTGCAGATGACACCAAACTTTGTAAAACAATACAATGTGAGCAAGATATTACTTTGCTGCAGAGGGATTTAGATAGACTGGGGACTGGGCACTCAAATGGCAGATGAAATTTAATGTTGAAAAATGCAAAGTTATGCACTTCGGCGTAAAGAATACACAAGCAACGTATACCCTTAATGGAAGCGAATTAGGGATAACAACACATGAGAAGGACTTGGGAATTGTTATAGACAACAAACTATGCAACAATGTGCAATGTCAATCAGCAGTGGCCAAGGCCAGTAAGGTATTGTCATGCATGACAAAGGGCATTCATTCTCGGGACAAGAATATAATTTTGCCTCTTTATAATTCACTGGTAAGACCCCATATTGAATATGCTGTGCAATTTTGGGCACCTGTTCTAAAGAAGGATATTATGGCACTAGAAAAAGTGCAGAGGCGGGCTACAAAACTAATAAAAAGAATGGAACATATCGGCTATGAAGAAAGGTTAACAAATTTAAACCTATTTAGTTTAGAAAAACGTCGCCTGAGAGGGGATATGATAACATTATACAAATATATTCGGGGCCAATACAAACCATTGTGTGGAAATCTATTCACAAACCGGACTTTACATAGGACACGAGGCCATGCGTTTAGACTGGAAGAAAGAAGATTTCATCTAAGGCAAAGGAAAGGTTTTTTTACTGTAAGAACAATCAGGATGTGGAATTCTCTGCCTGAAGAAGTGGTTCTATCAGAGTCCACACAGATGTTCAAACGGCTACTAGATGCATACTTGCAAGAACAGAATATTCAAGGATATAATCTTTCAATGTAGGGTAATAACTGCTTGATCCAAAGATAAATCTGACTGCCATTCTGGGGTCAAGAAGGAATTTTTTTCCTAGCTTGTTGCAAAATTGTGCTTCAAACTGGGTTTTTTTGCCTTCTTTTGGATCAACAGCAAAAAACAAATGTGAGGTAGGCTGAACTTGATGGACGCAAGTCTCTTTTCAGCTATGTAACTATGTAACTATGTAACTATATCTAGGGGAGAGGAGATTGTGTATGTTACTCCTTGCATTATGACTATGAGTGCCAAGGGAAAGCCCCAGTGATAGTGAATATTATTGACTCGCATCTGGCCAGTAATGGGCTAGAGCACTTTCCTGGCCTGGAGAGTCATCCAAGACAAGTCAGGATATACTTGCACTCGGTTGTCATGGAATAATAGCGGAGATGTAGATTGGCGGAGAGTTCTCATTATCTCTTCCTTATAGGAGAAGTAATGTATGCGACAGATTACATCTCTTGGTGCATCTGCAGATGCATTTCTAGGACGCAGGGATCTATGCGCCTGTCCAAAAGCACCGGTGTGTCGGTCGGCTTACCTAATAGTAAGTTGAACAATTCTTGGAGAGTTGCATGTAAGTCCTCCTTGTGACGTTCTGGCAATCCCTTAATTCGGAGGTTGTTTCTCCTTCCCTAATTATCCAATTCATCCAGGGACCTTAGGTAGAAAGATAGTGACGTGGTTTGGGCCTCTAGGACAGTCTGTAGGTGTTGTACCTGAGTGAATAGCACATCTTGGTCATCCTCCAGAGAGCTCACTCTCTAGCCAACATGGCGGAGATCGGATCCCAGGGATTCCATTTTTTTCTGGAATGATGATTCTAGTTTGGCTAGCATAAGTGCCATATCACCTTTGGAAGGTAGGTTTTTCAGTAACTCTTTGATGTCAGGGTCTTGCTGTGACAGGAAGCCCTCATAGTCTGCTGGGCTGGAGGGTAGAGAGTCCCCTCGGGGTGCAGGTGCCTCAGGGTGCAGGTGCCAGTTTGGGATCATCAGGTTCATATTGTGGTTCTTAGGAATCACGGAAATATTTAGTATTGGGGGTTTTCCCTGTCACAATATGGCTGGATTTACCTTTTTGGGGTTACCCATATCGCTATTTCTGTCCTTTTTAAAGCGAGATTCCGCCATCGAAATCAGGAAGCTCAGCAAGATACGTCCATGCGGCTCCATACCTGGCCACACCCCCTGCATTTCCTTTTTTGTGTTAATGGAGAACCAAGTATTGTGCCTTACTCTGTATAAGGGAGCAGTTCAGCACTTATAATGAATCACTTTATTAATAGTTACTGCCTGACTAGATACCCCACCTCCACCGTGACACTACAACCCACATAGAGAGACACAATCAGTAGACTAACTGTACTTGCTTAACCCCTAAAATTGAAGTTGCTCTTACTAATACAGTTTAAGTTAGAGGGTGTGTAACACCTACCATTCAAGATCACAGTGCGTTTACTTAATTCCATAATGAGAGCATTGATAACATCACCGTAAGATCTTGTCACGGAATAGGTAGTCAAGACTTCAAACAAAAATAGTGCAGTGTTTTTTCTTTTCTTTTATGTAAACTGATTGTGAAACATGGCCATTACTTACTTCACCTTTTTGATACTCCAGGTTATGACAAGCAACGCTTGTAACTGTACTACTAAAACAAAGAATGTAAAAAAAAAATAATTCAATAAAAATGAAAATAATGAAAAATAAGAAAAAATAGAAAATTAGAAACACAAATATAAAAATAAATAAGAAATTAAAAAATATAACTAATAAAAAAATGAAAATGCAATGTTTCTATGTTTCTATATATAAAATAAAATGGGAACATTTAAAAATTTAAATAATATAAATAAAATGCATGAAAGAATGAAAATAAAAAAATAAGAAGGATAAAAGGCTCAAATCTTGAAAATGCTCACAATAGAAGTGAAAATTTAAAATCTCCTGAAAAATGAGGCCTGAAACGCAATTGAGAATGCCATATGAACATGAGATATGGGATATACAAAGGATTGGTTGATCATCAGATTGGAGGCATGCCTACAGGTTTTAAGGGGACAGTTGGGGCTCGAATTATATTGTATGTTTTGTCGCTTCAAAACCCCTAAGACAAAATGCGTAGGGTTGTTTTATATATTTATTTTATGTGTGTGTAAATGAGGCCTGGAGAGGACTCTAAAAACCAAAGAAAATAGTTACTTGAGGACTATCCCAAGAGTCCAGTAGAGGACAATGCCTGCCAGCTACCAGAAAAAAAGATCCCAACAAGAAGGACCAGATGGGATTAGACAGATAAAAAAAAGAATTTGAAAAAAAAGCAAACTTTATTGATAGTTAATTTTATAAGTTAACTGCACTGTTTATGATAGGGACATGGAAACAATATCTTTATTTTCTAAACATCAGACGTAGTCATAAATCCATCATACATCAGCAGACACATTCCAGCCAATCTGCAGCAGACCCTCCCTCCCAGACCCTCCCACCTCCTGGACAGCTCACTAAGAATGCAGCTTCACAATGAATGTAAAATGGATGCTGTCCAGGAGGTGGGAGGGTCTGGGAGGGAGGGTCTGCTGCTGATTGGCTGGAATGTGTCTGTTGACTGTGAGGTACAGGGTCAAAGTTTACTCAATGATGAGTCCGTGGCGAACCGTTCGTGGCGAACCGTTCGGCGAACCGTTCGGGACATCACTAATTGCAGATATTAATTCAAAATGTTTTAAAGTCTTTGAATTCCAACTTTTTTAGACTCATCAATCAAGTAATATAAAGCCCACATATTGTATATCTTGTCCTCAATAGCATAGCAATAGTAGACTGCATGTTATCTCCCTCTTTTGAATGTGTCTGGTGCCAAAATTACTGTTTAGGCTTTTGCTGGAATCGCAGTTAGGTAAGACATTTTACACAAAATGGAGTAAAAGGTTGGTTTCAAGAACAAAGATCAAGTCATGGTACAGGGATTCTAAAAACTGCACTGAATGAGAACATTTATGATGGAACCTGGCCCTAAAGTTATCAAAAATAAATTAGTATCCCCAAAACATCTATGTGATGTCCGAATATTACACATAGGACTATATATGTATTGTTTGGCTATGCTATTGTCCCTGTGTAACTTGTGAAATCCATTTTTAACAATTTGACAACCTCCATGGTTCATACCTGGCTGGAGTGGTTTTGCTGCTTGGTGGGTTCATTTAAGGTGCATTTATGAAAATGCTCACAATAGAAGTGAAAATTTAAAATCTCCTGAAAATGAGGCCTGAAACGCAATTGAGAATGCCATATGAACATGAGATATGGGATATACAAAGGATTGGTTGATCATCAGATTGGAGGCATGCCTACAGGTTTTAAGGGGACACTTGGGGCTGGAATTATATTGTATGTTTTGTCGCTTCAAAACCCCTAAGACAAAATGCATAGGGTTGTTTTATATATTTATTTTATGTGTGTGTAAATGAGGCCTGGAGAGGACTCTAAAAACCAAAGAAAATAGTTACTTGAGGACTATCCCAAGAGTCCAGTAGAGGACAATGCCTGCCAGCTACCAGAAAAAAAAGATCCCAACAAGAAGGACCAGATGGAATTAAAGACAGATAAAAAAAAGAATTTGAAAAAAAAGCAAACTTTATTGATAGTTAATTTTATAAGTTAACTGCACTGTTTATGATAGGGACATGGAAACAATATCTTTATTTTCTAAACATCAGACATAGTCATAAATCCATCATACATCTATAGCATGCTCCTCCAGATGCTTGAGATCTTACTCAGCCTTCTCCCCATTCCCTTTACATATTAACCATAGTTGTGACTTTCCTTTAATTTTCTCTGAACATTTCATGCTACGTCTTGTTTCAAATGCCCATTTTATGCTTAAAGATTGTAAGCTCTTGGGCACTAAGCACTTTGAACAAAAGAACTTTAATGGGTAGAGCTCAGCTCATGGGTAGGGCTATCTTTAACTTTTTTAATTGGTATGTGTATTTTGTACTGCTTTGTACCATCCTCTACCCCCTCCTCCGTCTCCTCATTGCACAGTGCTGCACAATTTGTTGGTGCTTTATAAATGCCATGAATTAATTAATTAATCCATTGTATAGGCAGCATGTAGTTAAAACTGAAAAAAAATACTATATTTTGTTCTTAGCCACAATAAATGTATAGATGCTAAATAATGTATATGTACCACATTTTTAATGTTGATATCTTTTTGATATTTAATATCTTTAAATATTAATTTTAAAAGATTATAAAAAATATTAAATCATTTGAAAAGCTCATCTTCCAATATTAAATCAAGACCTATATCTCAACAAATGACTTTAAAACCATATTTATTGTTCAGGAACAGGTTATTAGGAAGATATTCTACAAGCAAAACAACTAATCAACTAATCAACTACAATCCAAGTAGTGAAATGCTGCAGTAGTAAGTATTGGCAGGGAAATCTAAAGAAAGGTTCTTATTTAATTCCCTTTAAGATGCATATGGGGTACATTTATAGCTCTCAGATTCACAGGTGATTATAGCACGTTGAAATCCGTATCCCAGTATATTTAATGTTACTTTTAGCCTTTTTTTGAGACAGCCAACATATTGATCTATTTCTCTCCAGATTATTTATTTAACAAGGACATGAAACATGATAGATGCAGGTAGATTTTGCAGAAGATAAAAATAATTAGAACAAAACACATTGCAGATAGTGATGTCCCGAACGGTTCGCCGAACGGTTCGCCACGAACGGTTCGCCACGGACTCATCATTGAGTAAACTTTGACCCTGTACCTCACAGTCAGCAGACACATTCCAGCCAATCAGCAGCAGACCCTCCCTCCCAGACCCTCCACCTCCTGGACAGCTCACTAAGAATGCAGCTTCACAATGAATGTAAAATGGATGCTGTCCAGGAGGTGGGAGGGTCTGGGAGGAAGGGTCTGCTGCTGATTGGCTGGAATGTGTCTGCTGACTGTGAGGTACAGGGTCAAAGTTTACTCAATGATGAGTCCGTGGCGAACCATTCGTGGCGAACCGTTCGCGAACCGTTCGGCGAACCGTTCGGGACATCACTAATTGCAGATATTAATTCAAAATGTTTTAAAGTCTTTGAATTCCAACTTTTTTAGACTCATCAATCAAGTAATATAAAGCCCACATATTGTATATCTTGTCCTCAATAGCATTGCCAAACAATACATATATAGTCCTATGTGTAATATTCGGACATCACATAGATGTTTTGGGGATACTCATTTATTTTTGATAACTTTAGGGCCAGGTTCCATCATAAATGTTCTCATTCAGTGCAGTTTTTAGAATCCCTGTACCATGACTTGATCTTTGTTCTTGAAACCAACCTTTTACTCCATTTTGTGTAAAATGTCTTACCTAACTGCGATTCCAGCAAAAGCCTAAACAGTAATTTTGGCACCAGACACATTCAAAAGAGGGAGATAACATGCAGTCTACTTTTCTGAGCATGACACTCTGACATACTAACTGCACTGGATGAAGTGATTTAATTTTTTATTTCCTGAAATAGATTTGCATTGTGTTGCAGAAAATGTAAAACTTAAAACTTCTGTCAAATTTTATCCAAGTGTCTCTCCAAATACTTTCTACTCATAATCTACTGTTGCTCACCACTCTCACCATGTCTCAAACAGCGCCATCCTCCTGCCAAACTGTAAGCTCCAAAAACCAAGAACCTCAGTACTAGTATTTACCTTTGCTCTTACTGTATTTTTGTAATGTCAATAGGGCATTATTGTTAGAATCCTCCTATGAAAGCTATGACAATATATCCAATATGATTTTTTAAAAATCACAAAGTTTTTTGGGAGCCCAGTAAATTTTCAGTGATTTCAAAGGGCCTAAATTACTATTGTGGATTATTTAACACTTATGGTGTGTCTTGGTATTTCACATCAGCATCTGTTGCATTCTTGAATTTTATCCATTAATGACATCATGTTACTTGGTAAACTACTGGAAGATAGCTTAACAATCATAATTTTCTTTTCAAAATAATTACCCAGAAAATGGTAGTTTCTATGCTTCATTAGGGTGTAAGGCCATTTTTCACTTTAGAACTGGATGAGCTTTGCAGAATGAATGCAAAGGTATGATGTCTCCCATCTCTACCTTCAAAAGATGTTCTTGAAGTAATACAAGCCAAACAGGCTAAAGCTGTTTTATTCTCATTTTAAAAGTCCTTTTTTAATGCCTGCCATGAAGGTCCACCTTTTATTCTATTTCCTTTATTCCTCCTTGATCTATACATTTAGTTCTTACAGTCCTGATTTCAGTATTTTTTTAACATATGGAGAGCAAAAACCGGGGCACAAGAGCAGTGGCGTACACATGACCCATGGGGCCCCGGTGCGAAAATTGATCCGTGGGCTGTGACCCCTGTGACCGCGGTATGTACGCCAGTGCATGCAGATGCACACACACTTAAAGGACCACTACAGACACCCAGATCACATCAGCTCAATGAAGTTGTCTGGGTGTCAGGTCCCTCTAGTTTTAACCCTGCGGCTGAAAACATAGCAGTTTCAGAGAAACTGCTATGTTTCACTGAGGGTTAATCCAGCCTCTAGTGGCTGTCTCACTGACAGCCGCTAGAGGAGCACACTGAACGTCCATAGGAAAGCATTGAGTAATGCTTTCCTATGGGCGGTTTGAATGCGTGCGCGGTCACATTCGGAGCTGAGAGGCTGAGGGATCCCCAGCACCAAGGGAGTCCGGCGCTGGAGAAAGGTAAGTGCTGAAGACACACACTCTCGCTTACAGACGCATACACACTAGCTAACAGACACACACATTTACTGACAGAGAGATACACTCAGCGACAGACATACATACACACTCACTTACAAAACATACACTCTCATTGACAAACACAAACTCACTAACAGACATCAAACAGACTCACTAACACACACTCAGTAAGACACACACAGTAACACAATCACTGACACTCTCTAGCAGACACACACACTAACACTCACTCTAACACTCACTCTAACACTAACACTCACACTAACACACACTAACACTCACACTCACTCTAACACTCACACACACTCTCACTCTAACACTCACACTCACTCTAACACCAACACTCACACATGTTTTTTTTTTTTTTTATTTAATCCCCCCAGCCTCCTTACCTTTTGGAGAGCTGGGGGGATTCCCTGGGGTCCAGTGGTGCTGCTGGGCTGGCTGGCTGGCTGGCGAGCTGTCTGGCCGGCGCGCGAGGGAGCACTCTGCTCTGAGTGCTTCCTCTTCAGCTCCCTCGCGCGCCGCGTAGGGATGCCGGCGCCGGAAGATGACGTCATCTTCCGGCTCCGGTATCAGTGCGGTGCGCGAGGGAGCTGAAGAGGAAGCACTGAGTGCTCCCTCGCGCGCCCGCCTGCCCGACCGGCCACCCGCCTGCCGGGTGACAGCAGGGCCAGCCTCGGGGGGCCCTGGGGTGGTCGGCTCCTGGGCCCCCCAGGGGAAGAGGCTGGCCCAGTGGGTACACACCGGGTCGCAGGGGCGGCCGGGCCCCCTGGTGGGCCGGGCCCGGTCGCATCTGCGACCCC